TATAAAACTATTTCTCCAAACAGATAAATAGGAAAACCTCGATGATATATATTTGGGGAAAGTGCAAATGAAACACTTCTGGTAGGTAGAAATTGAGGGCATGATGGGACAGTGGTCCTTAAAGGTCACTGCCTTCAGAAACTCTAGGTCCAGGGGTTCCAGGTTAGGGCTAGCCTTTACTGTCCTCAGCTTTGTCCTCTACTGGAAAATGAGGAGGTGGTAAACACATTTATACAGGTAGCATGCCTTATTTCCAGAATCAGGCATCTGACCTGCAAGATAGCTCAGTTTTGAATTTTGACCACACATGGAGAAGAACCATGTCCAATGTTAAGTTGAGAAGAAAGCCTAAGGATGGTGGCACACACCTGCAGTCCTAGCCCTCCGGAGGCTGGGGTGGGAGGAGCTACACCCCACAGGTGTAGCTGTCCTGTAGGAGGACCCTGTTTCCCACAGACCCAAGAGGAAGGAGGGGAGGAAGGGAAGAGAGGCAGCCATCATCCTTTCCCTGTTTCTCTGGACTGCTCAGTAACGTCTCTGCAGACAATAGGGATAGCAAGTTTCCGCTTCCAGTCCACAAAGTAAGGCGAATAGAGAGGTTTCAAAGGAGACAAAGTTGATGAAGCAGATTCACAGTCTCAGTTTCTAGAGGTTCTGGGTCAGAGAAATAGACTTGTCTCTGCGATGGTGCATGAAAAGTGATTCTCATGCGGACCAGATATCCAGACTCCAAAGGAAGCCAGACATGGCAGTGGGCATATATAACCCTAGCTCTTCTACAGCCAATGGAAGGAGGCAGAGACTCCCCGAAAGCTGGTGGGGTAGACTGTCCTGGTGTATGCCTTGGTGAACAAGATATTCTTCTTCAAACAAGGTAGAAGCTGAGGGCCACCACATGAAGTTGTCCTCTGACCTCTACATGTATGCTATAGCATGTAAGTGGCCACACGTGTGCACACATGCACACACACACACAAGGAGGGGAGTGGGAAAAAGTGAGGGAAGGAAAGGGGACAGAAGAGGAAAGGAGGAGGAGAGAAGTAAAGACAGTGCACGAGGAGGGGCTTATTAAACCCACCCCTGGCCATCTTCTTTCCGCCTTATTCCCAACTGTGACACCTGAAAAGGCCTCTGTGCAGGGTATCCCCTTGGTGGGGATGGGGGTGTAGCTGTGTTTTCTGAGCACTCCCAGCTTACATGGCTCTCAGCAGCAGCCTGCACCCTACTCTCTCACTGCAAGAAAGCAGGTCCTTAAGGTTACCTTCCTCAAAGTAGCTCCTCTGGCCTGCAGAATTCAGAATTGGTTTAACACAGACATTCTAAGTGTGGATTGAGTTGGGTCATTGGTTCACACTCATTCCATGACAACTGTTCTGAGACACACTCTGGAGTCTGGACCCCATGGCCGCCATTCCTAAGTCTCCTTGCTCTAAAAGGTGTAGGACTAACCTCTCCCTTCGACCTTGGCTTCTATGATCCAGATAATTACAGATTCAGTTGCTCTCTTCCGCTATGAAGCACCTGGGTTCTAAGAATGTGTGTCACAGTCTAGAAAGACTAGGGTATTAGAAGGGGCAAGAGAACTGAAGCTGTGTGGACAGATGAGTGTTTCCCTGAGGATCTGGGCACAGGTCCATGATCATCATGACCCTGGAGCTGGGCTCTGTGCATTGAGACAAGGGAAATACTGTTGATGCAGCTTCTCTGTGACTTTGGCACTGCACCTCTCTTCCGAGTAGTTTAAAATTCAGTGCTTATTCCAGTAGACTACAGGACACAGCATTTCCACATCGGGTGGCTAATGTCAGAGACAGTCCTTTCAAAGCATGGAAGAAATGACATGGGAGCCTCCCAGACTCCTGCTAATCTGATGGCATTTGCTGTATTGCAGGTCATCACAGCTGGCTTGTCACTCTTGCTGTTTGATGTGGTCCTGACCAGTGCAACTGTGGGCTGGTAAGTTCTCTGCACATTCATCACAATATTGATTTCTGCTCAAATGAAGCAGGAATGTGTGCTGGGTAGATGTTTCCATCCTGAGAAAAGTTTCATGTTAGTGAAGCCTTCCCGCTTTTATTTAGTCATTGAATTATTGATTGGTTGGTTAGTTGGTTGATTGATTGATTGATTGATTACAGTTCTAGGGATTAAACACAATGCCCCATGCGCTAGGCAAGCACTGTTCTCTAATCTCATATCTAATCTATATCTCATACTGTAGGCCTTGAACTAGCATTAATCCTCCTGCCTCAGTCTATAAGATGCTGGGGTGGCAGATATGAGGAAGCAAGCCCTGATTCTTTATCTTTCAGCTGTTATCAGTGTGTGAATTGACATTCAGAAGAGTACACTCTTACTCTCACACAGCTCATGATATACAGTACTGTACACAGTGTTGTACACTTATACAGTGTGTTCTTATAGATCAACATTTTCAACTGAAGATTCTATATCTAACTAATACTCAGTTCAACATATCTCCAGAATGCCTTTTAGCCACTTATCTATCTCAGAGTTGCCATCATTGAAACCTTGGTGTCTAAGGAGAGAATAATTGGCTGTCCCAGAAGCCCTTACAAATGCCTGTTGTGGAATATTTAACTATGTAAAGATGTGTTACATTTGTTTATGCTGCATTTGTTTAACAATGTAAGGATGTGTGTTTAATTATGTAAAGATATATTGCATTGTTTCACCTTGCCTGCCTAAGTTATCTGATTGGTCTGATAAGAACTGAATGGGGCCATTAGCTAGGCAGGAAATGGATAGGCAGGGCTGGCAAGCAGAAAGAATACATAGGAGGAGAAATCTAGACTTGAGAGAGGAAGAATGAGAAACAGAGAGAGAAGAGAATGAGGAGAAAGAGGGGAACACGCCTGGGGCCAGACAGACATGAGAAGTAATGAAAGTAAGATACACAGAAGGAAGAGAGACAGGCTAATTTATGTATGTATTGTATTGTATTTTTTTTAATTGAGCTATACATTTTTCTCCACTCCCCTCCCATTCTCTCCCCTCCCCTTCTACCCTCTTCCATGGTCCCCATGCTCCCAATTTACTCAGGAGATTTTGACATAGGCTAATTTAAGTTAAAAGAGCTAGCCAGAAATGAGCCTAAGCTAGTCCGAGCATTCAAAGCTAATAATAAGTCTCTGTATCATGATTTTTGGTTAGTGGTCCAAAAGAAAAAGCCTGGCACAGATCCCAAACCCACAGGTATTCATGTCTCCTACATAAAGTGGTGCAGTGTTTCCATTTAACCTATTTATATCCTCTTGTGTAGTTTTAAATCATCTTTAGATTACTTAGCCTTACCTAAGCACATTCTGATTCTGGGTGGGAGGCGGGAATGATTTTGTTGTTGTTGTTGTTGGTACCAAAGTGATCCTGATAAACTGGTCTGCCTTGGCCACCTTGCTGGCTTTGCCTTGTGTACGCGTTAGGAACTGTCCTTCAGTGACAGCCAGACTTGCTACTTCTGTGGTGTCCACAGACACTCATTCCCCTGTCCAATGGCAAACCCCTGCCTAAGTCACCCTAGGCAGATAAAAGTGAGCACATAGAGTAAGGAATTCTTGTCCTCTCTCAGCGACATTTCCTGTCTGGAAAATAGCAGAGGGGTAAAAACGAGGAAACACTCCTCCACCTTCCTTCTTCTTTTCCTCTTTATTTTATTCTTGTTTACACATTGTTACTGTTGTTTTGAGACAGGGTTTCTCTGTGTAGCCTTGGCCCCTGTCCTGGTACTTGCTTCGTAGCCCAGACTGGCCTCAAACTCACAGAGATCCACCTGCCTCTGCCTCCCGAGGGTTGGGAGACCCTACTTCTGAAAGGTTCCTGCCCTTCCCAGTAGTGCCACCGACTAGTGATGATGGTTAAACATGTGGGCTACTTATTCAGTGATAGTAACGACCAGCCATAAAGACAGTGGTGGTGGTTGGGCAGTAAAGAGTGTTTCCTGGATAAGGCAGCGTGGTATTTAACCCATTTTCCTCAGAGTTTTATAGACAAGATGATACCGTACTAGAATTCAAACCCAGACCTCAGTGTGTCCAAAGCTCCCCAAACTCTGGAACTAACAAGCACAGGCAAAGCCTTGTCATCAGTACAAGTCAGTATGCGAGGTTAAAGCCCATAAAGGGGACACGGGGAAGCTGGCGTAAATGTTTATCTTTCTGCCTCCATGGTGCTAGCCTAAATTCTTGATAGTATTTTTCTTTCTTACGTGCATACCTTCATATTTTGTACAGATTTTCAAAATGAACCGGGTGTTAAACTGAGTGAGAGAAATCAGAGTGAGGCTGAGTTCAGTGAGAAATCAGTTGCTCTCGGGCAAGTAGCAAGGTGGTTGTCTGGAAGGAACTCTGTCTCCAGGCTGCTTCCTCTGTGGAGTTGAGGTTATGCCCTGGGCAAAATGGAAAGAAAGGCCATTTGGACCCAATCAAGGAAGCAGTGTGTGTTTCTATTCCAGAAGGAACCGTGGCTTTGAAAATCCCTGGGTTGTCAGAACTCTTGAGATTAGGGTTAGTTTTCAGCCGCAAAGAATTTTCCAGCCACAAAGTGAACATCCAGAAGGAGAGTGTCAAGCTGTGATTTCACCTCCTGCCTCCCTCCCAGGCGGTCGGTCCACACATTGTGTGAGTTCAAGCATGGCCCAGTGCTAGACCAAGTCTCGGTTTCCAGATGGGACTGGCTAGCTTTCGTCCCCTGGAAATTTAAACTAATCCAAAGTCACAAAGGGCAGGGGTTACAGGTTTTGGATTTTAAAAAATGTTTTAGATCTATGTAGTTTTCTGTACAGTTGTTGTTTCTTATGTTTTGATTGACTATCAAATTTTAAATTTTTAAAATTTCAAATTTTAGAAATTAGGTGGTTTCTTCCTGCAAATCCAGATTTCCATACTCGTTTGGCAATGGCAGCCTGCTGGGAGTTTGTGTTGGAGTGGATGGATACCTGACCTGGAAAGTGCTCTCTGTTGAGCATGGCTGAGCTGTGCCTGGACTGGCTAGTCTCTTCTCCTGGGAGGGCAGCATCTTAGCTGCTCAAATTAGGCCATCTAAAGTGGGTTTCTGGGTTGGCAAGACAGCGTGGTGAATAAAGGTGCCGATCCAGCTGCCACAAATTGTCTCTGACATTCACGCGTGTGCCATAGCATGCGTGCACTCATACTCGTGCACAAAATAGATACATTGATGTAAAAAAGTAAAAATAAGATCAGGCCAGGTAGTGGTGGTGTATGCCTTTAATCCCAGCACTTAGGAGGCAGAGGCAGGTGGATCTCTGTGAATTCAAAGCCAGGGCGAGTTCCAGGACAGGCTCTAAAGCTCTACAGAGAAATCGTCTTGCAAAACAAAAATAAATAAATAAATAAAATCAAAATTTTCACTCTTGGCACTATTGGTGTTTGGGGCCAGGTTTTTTTTTTTTTGGTTTTTTTTTTGGGGGGGCCAGGCTTTGTTGTGAGGTACCATCCTGACCTCTACCCTACTAGGTGCAAGTAACCCCTCTCATTTATAATGGAAAATGTTTTTAAGGCATTGGGCAGTGTTCCCTGGAGACAGAACCACCAGTCTCAAGGTTCCTGCAAATGAACAGAGAGAATGACTTTTCAACAAGATCTCCTGATTAGGGGTCTGAACCAGCCCAAGTCCTTGGCAGCATCGCCCAGGCACCCTGGGTGTGGCTTTGAAAGTGGCTTTGTATGACAGCCAGATGTGCAGCTCATCCCTCCCACCTGCCCCAGATGTGTGCAGTGCTTGTTGGAATGATTCGACTGTAAGACTGTGTGGAATGACCACAGTGTACCTGCTTCCTTCCAAGGATTCCATGACAGCTCTTCACTTCTGCCGGTCATTCCCTGGGGCTGCCATCTGTCCCAGGCTGCCAGTCATGACAATTGCTCACACTTTATCTCAGTACAAACCTCATGAACATCAAGGATATTCAGAAAATGATTGGAAAGAGCTGGGTGTGACGTTAGGCACATGCTCAAAAATCCCAACACTTGGGAGGCGGACACAGGAAGATTATAAATTGAGATTAGCCTAGGATACTTATTCAGACCCAAAGCAAAGAAAAAGATTTTCAGCCAGGCATCCATGGCTGATCACCCTTAATCCCAACACTCCAGAAGCAGGCAGATCTAGGAGTTCGAGGCCAGCCTGGTCTACAGAGTGAGTTCCAGAACAGCCAGGGCTGCATAGAGAAAGCCTGTCTAAAAAGAAAAAAAAGAAAAGGTTTTCAGTTATCTTTGAATCAAGATATTCTCTCCCTCTGATTTTAGAGCCCCTTCCTGGAGACTACTCAAGCCTTTGTAAACAGAAAATGGCTCCTAAATGGAGCCAGGAGTCCCTTTAGGACTATAGTGAATGAAACATCAGTTTCCTGTTTGAATTAAATGTTGGCATTTCATTTAAAAAGGCATAATTAAGGGCTATGGATGTATCTCCATTGGTAGTGTGCCTGCCCTGGGTTCCACCCCCAGTGCCACATCAAACTAGGTATGCTGTATTCTTGCCTATGTCGTGAGTTGAAGTTTGGGCTACATAAGACACTGTCAAAAAAAATAAATAAATAAAGTCTGTTATTTTTCACGTATATAATACTTTATCAGATTGTGAATTTTATCCTGCAAGGGAATGAGATGTTGGGGAAATACATTTTAGTAGGGTAGAAGTGAGGAAAAACCAAGTAGTTGGAATATAGATGTGAGATGGGGAACACGTTTAACAATTTGGTCATTCATTGGAGATACATCTTTGTGCTGGGTTTGTACCTGAGAGAAAATATTGTCTGTCTGTTGAGTTTAGTAGGAACTAGCCAGGTAGCCACAATAATAGTTGTAAGATGAGACAAGGCCTTTGATACCCACAGGAGAAAGTCTGGAAAGACTCTGAAACAACGCCCTGGAAGAGACCCTTGGAATGGGTGTTTCTGGCTGTGCGTGCTCTCCAGC